GCCAGCCCCACGCAAGTCACCGAGCCTGCGGCCCCCTCTGTGCGCAGGCGGGTTCCTGTGCCCTGCCTGCCTCCCGTCCCGCCGGGGCACCCGTGGGAGTGGAGCGTTTTCAGAAGGAATTCAGAGGAGACTGGCCCTGGGTTCGGGAGTTTCGGGGGACTCGTCCAGGGGGTGGAGCTGAGCTCTGAGCGGGGGCGCCTCTGCACCGAGGGGGTGGCTCCGAGCGGGGGCGCCTCTGCACCGAGGGCGTGGCTCCGAGCGGGGGCGCCTCTGCACCGAGGGCGTGGCTCCGAGCGGGGGCGCCTCTGCACCGAGGGCGTGGCTCCGAGCGGGGGCGCCTCTGCACCGAGGGCGTGGCTCCGAGCGGGGGCGCCTCTGCACCGAGGGCGTGGCTCCGAGCGGGGGCGCCTCTGCACCGAGGGCGTGGCTCCGAGCGGGGGCGCCTCTGCACCGAGGGCGTGGCTCCGAGCGGGGGCGCCTCTGCACCGAGGGCGTGGCTCCGAGCGGGGGCGCCTCTGCACCGAGGGCGTGGCTCCGAGCGGGGGCGCCTCTGCACCGAGGGCGTGGCTCCGAGCGGGGGCGCCTCTGCACCGAGGGCGTGGCTCCGAGCGGGGGCGCCTCTGCACCGAGGGCGTGGCTCCGAGCGGGGGCGCCTCTGCACCGAGGGCGTGGCTCCGAGCGGGGGCGCCTCTGCACCGAGGGCGTGGCTCCGAGCGGGGGCGCCTCTGCACCGAGGGCGTGGCTCCGAGCGGGGGCGCCTCTGCACCGAGGGCGTGGCTCCGAGCGGGGGCGCCTCTGCACCGAGGGCGTGGCTCCGAGCGGGGGCGCCTCTGCACCGAGGGCGTGGCTCCGAGCGGGGGCGCCTCTGCACCGAGGGCGTGGCTCCGAGCGGGGGCGCCTCTGCACCGAGGGCGTGGCTCCGAGCGGGGGCGCCTCTGCACCGAGGGCGTGGCTCCGAGCGGGGGCGCCTCTGCACCGAGGGCGTGGCTCCGAGCGGGGGCGCCTCTGCACCGAGGGCGTGGCTCCGAGCGGGGGCGCCTCTGCACTAAGGAGGTGGGGACAGGGAGGGAGCCGGGAACGCAGGAACAAACACGGTATTTTCCCCGAAGCCCGAGAAAACCTGCCCCGCCAGTGCTCCTTTTCTTCAAACGAGACTGAAAAAAGCAGCTTTCGCGGTCACTCTTTCCACGGTTGGAAACAGGGATTTTCCAGCGGTCCGTGAGTCCCCCGCGCTGCTCTACAGGAAGTCGGGGGTGGCTGAGAAACACCAGCAGGGAGCGCCAGGCACACCGCCGCGTCGCAGTCAGAGTCCGGGAGAGGGGGGCGCAGCGAGGAGGCGTCTGGATCCGTAAGCAAAGGCGATGCCTCAACTTTCCCACGCAGGTGAGCGGCCGGCCTCCCAGCGCCTGCGGCGAGCGGCTAGGTCGCGGGGAGGCGTCAGTTCTTACCCCGGCACTGTATTCGGCATAACGTGCAAATCTGCATGTAGCTGGCCCCAAGTCTCAAATAGCCTTCATTTTGGAAGAGACTAGTTGTCTCTC